ATTGATCTCTTGAAGATTTTCCTTTAATTTAACTATGGAGTCAGGGTCAATTTTTCTTGACTTCACCAGTCTAGGATCATAGAATTGACTATGTATCCCCCTTTTTCTTTTACCTAGCCCATCAGAGGCATGCCTTGGTTTTACAATACTTGTAGTCATTACCGGTGAACAGTTAACTTCTCTTTTTCCTCCTTTGCCCCATTGTTGCGGTTTTGACGTACATGTTCGATTGTCACACTCTTTCAACTCTCCCTTTCTTGTCATGTCTACCAGTTTTCAAATAACTGCCACTACATGACAGCAGCATTCGCTTTTGGATGCTGGGCACTGACGATCGCAGGATGCTGATTTAATTTTATCAGTACACGTACTGCCTTCTTGCACTGTTAATTAATCTTGTATTTACGATCTGTCTTGTAAGAGGCCCAAATTGCGAATCTAAATTGCGAATCGAAGAGGTTTCTACCTCTATGTTTACTCTTTCAAAGTTCGCGGGAAATATCTGGAGGGCCCTTAGGCCTCGCTTTCATGCTATTTCCGGCTTACGGCGTAAGTGTGTATATGTAACCACGTTACTTCTTTGATCAATGCAAAAAGCTATATATTTGTTCCAGAAAACCCTTTGCTCTCCTTTGGTACTTTTGTCTTTAGAACAAAACCAATATTTGCTCTAAACGCATGCGCCGATTAATAAGCGTTAGTGTCAACTACACATCTTGTGGAAGATACATTGAACGCTTTCCCTTGTGGTAGAACCCTAATAAGTCTTACGCATGCGTTCTAGCATCGTTAGTGCGATACAAGAATGCTACTGTGACTGCGTGTCTTTTGGAATTACGCTTAACTTGGTTCAAGAAATGTCATCTGTTGTCTCCAAACTACACTAGTGCGTTAATTTCATCCTTTAAATTTCTCTATCAAAGAGACCAAAATGTTTATACCGCGGCCGAAACTATCCCGAGAAAGTGACATTAAACTTGTCAAATTGTACAAAAAACCCAGGAGACTGCTCAAATATTGCTGCAGACTCCGTGGCCCCTACTGAAAGCATCAATTTTATCAGTCTCCGAGGGGACTCGTTCACCGATGAAGGATATAATCTCGTCAAGTAGCGCTGTTTACTGTCAATACTTCTCTTTGAAACGCTTCTCAGTATAGTCCGGAAGATAAGGGGTAGAATTGTTCAAAATAGGATACAAGTACGAAAATTGGCCTGCCTACTCCTTTTGGCGCGTGGAATGAAATAAAAGCAAGACCCATCTCGGATCTTGCCTTGTTCAACAATATACAGTCCTACAAATTCCCATATAAGGTTTGTACGAAAAACCACAGGGTTCCCAAGGTCTGAAAAAAAGTGAAACCCTTATAAAACTTTGTACGAGCTAAATTATTATTGCAGAGTTGGCAGTAAAATGACATCCTTAATTATTTTATTCCATTAGGATAATTTCTCTATAGACTGGATCATAGAACTTACCGATTTGAAGGTCATTCTATTCTTGGTAACAACTTCCTGCACAAGAACATAGCGCAGTGCAAGGGAGGTTTGCTTTAGTACATTTACATAGTCCACGGCAAGCCCTCTTACATCCACAGCTTATCAGTTCACTGC